AAATATGCTGTGTTAGCTGGTATATTTAATATGAAACATGTTAAAGATACTTTAATATAGAAAGAAAATGAAATTAAAACATGATAAAGTCAAAACAATTTTATCTTATATCAAAACAAAATGTTTTGATGTTATTAAAATAAATCAAGAAAGTAAAAATGAAATGTTTTGACTTTTCCTTGTTAAAAATATTTGTCAGAATTGACACTTTCTTGCAAAACATTTGGATTTTGACAAACAGAATTCTTTTTTACAGAAGAATTGTTTTGCTGAGTTCTAATTAAAAACTGGTTAACTCACAGATCTCAAAAAATAGTTGTCAGTGGTGRATTATTACTGTGAGTCAACTGTATGATGAAAGGGATTAGTTCAGAGGCCAGAGCTATTTGATATTCTAGTCTGTGATCTTTAAATTAATACAAAAACTCTTCTGAAAAATTTCTAGGCACTAAGGGGCTTGGCAGAGTGGCCAGAGCCATCACAGCGTGATGGGATCACTTTGTGACTCAAATACCAAGTGTTTTAAGYCAGGAAAATCCAGACATTGCCCCCACAAACCACTCTGCCTTATCAGGACAGGATTGGGGAGTTTGAATGGGTAAATAACAATAAATGAAAGCAGGGCAGAAAAAAAGCAGGAGACTGAGAAGGAACAATAGAGGAAGGTGCTGTCCTGCTCTGGTATCAACAACATAAAACTGTGAGAGTGGAAAAATACACTGGGGAAAGGATATGTCAAGCTAGAGCCCATTGTTGTTTTGCCCATTAAAGACTGAAAAGTGATGAGGGAAAAAGAGGAATAAAGGTCATTGGGGTTTCTTTTAAGGACAGAGTTATATAAAGGAGTTTAAAGTAAAGTCAGAGGAAAAATGAAGCAACTTCTTTTACTGGTCAATCTGACTGACCATAGAAACGTGGTGAACTCATAAATTCAGGATGCCTTTAAATCAAAACTTTATTGAAGGCACAAGTTATTTTGGTTCAGCCCAGAAGAAGGGGAWARATYATCTGACCTGAGTTACAGAAAAGARCAAGTGTTTTTTTAAATATCTGCTACATTTATAATCTATGGGAGTCTRCACATTAATTATTTGCACATGGTGAGTAGTGTGAAGATAATCAGAATTTTTTAACTGAATCAAATTATGCTAAAAATCAGGAATTCATCATCAACAGTGTCAACAGTTGTTGAAGGTGAATGTTTGGATTAAACTGTCCTGGGTATTGTTTCACAAAAGTATTTCTAATTCAAATTTTGGTACTAAATCTAATGAGACTGAGCTTTTAATCTTCTATTCTTTTAGCAGGAGAAAAAGAGAGCTGATCTAGAATCACTGCCCAGGTGRCAGGGAGACTCACACAGATGCAAGAGGGATACCTGCTTTCCTTCCTGATTCAAGGCTTCCTCAGTGCCTCATGYATTGCCCAAGACCTCAGGATATTTTCAGCAAACAGACAATTTCTKTAGAAACATTTCACTCACAGTGAGCAGCATTTCATCAGGAAACAAATTAAAATMTTGATCAATATAATATCTGTGTTTAATTCCTGCTCATGCTACAAAACTCTGTGCAGAGCTAGGTATGCAATTTATATTTCTATTATGTTCTTCTCTACCTGTAAAATGGGAATCTGACCTTCTTCTCCGTTTATTTCCATTGTAAGGCTCTTGGATGGGAAACTGTCTCTCTCCCTCTGTGTGTATATTTACACACAAAGTAAGGAACATATCAGCTCATTTGTAATACAGATAATGCTTGTCCTTCTACTGCTCTATTTAAAAAAAATAAAGCCAACAGTTAGGAAGTGCAAGTCAGAGATTTTATCTGACATCCATGACTTGAATATTCTGTATATAAATAAAATATTTAATTATTTGAAGGAATGAATTTATTGTACGCCATGTGTTTCTTTGCAGAACAATATGACAGTRAGATAACATTTTGCAATTTCAGATCATTTCCCATGGCAAGGAAATTATATTTGCCAGCCAGCTAGTTTCTTTTACTCCATTTAATGCACACATTATGGATACTGGTTCGGACTGATGTTTTCACTAGAACATTGTCGACAAGTCTAATAACTGATACAATGATAGAAAATTGTGTATCAGCTTCTGGTATTTTCAGCCTATATTTATAGATATGTTTACGTTGTATTTATTTTGTGAGTTATACAGAATCGTATYTCCCATTTTTTTCTCAAAGGCAAATTGATTATTTGCAGCAAACCTCTGGTTTAATCTTGCCACTCTATTCAATGTCTCCTCCCCCTCATCTTGGGTGCTCTCTTTTATTTCATATCCCTGTTTTTAAGCCCTCTCCTGAGTCCCATGTCAGTGCACCCTTTAATTAATCCCTTTTTTCAATTATCTGTCCCATAACCCTTTCCTCCATGGTGATAGCTCCTTCTCCTCATCTTTCTCCTCCATGGTGGTAGCTCCTTCTCCCATCAGGGAGACACACTCTTCTTTCTGATCCCTGCAAATGAAGACCCCTTATTTCAATATATGAATATCCCTTRATATTATTATCTGTGATATATTAAGAAATGACTGGATGTGGCACCCAGTGCTCTGGTTTAGTTGACAAGGTTGTGTTTGCYTAAAGTTTGGACTCTATGATCTTGGAGGTCTTATCCAACCTTAATGATTCAGTGATTCCACGATTTTACKCTTCCCCCTATACAACACCACCTCAGACAACTCCTCTGTTTTAACCACAAGCATTAGTATTCACATAGATCAAGAGTAGAGTAAAACATTTGCTTGCTCTAGTGCATAAGATAAGAAAATAGTTTTTCTTTGTTGTGCAGAATTATTACATGCAATTTGATTCGTTTTCTTTGGCTTAGTCTGTTTCTGAAATCTTGCTAGCAGTCAGCAACTGCAATGAGGGACTGCACCTTTTGGGTCAGAGTTAGAATCACAAAGCCATTAAAGTGCAAAAAGACCTCYAAGATCATGGGGTCYRACTTCTGACTGAGCACCCCCTTCCCAACTGAACTGTGCCACGCAGTGGTTTTTTGCCCACTTCCAGGGATGGTGACTCTACCACTTCCCCAGGCAGCCCATGCCGGTGCTTCACAACCCTTTTGGTGAAGAAATTCTTCCTGATGTCCAGCTTGAACCTGTTCTGGTGCAGTTGGAAGCCATTTGCTCTTGTCCTGTGGCTGACTGCCTTGGAGGAGTTGCGAGTCATCRTGCATCCCTAGGACACCAGGGAAAAGCTTTTGTTTCCTGGAYAGCTCTACCAGTCTGGCACCTGCACGACAACGTAACTTGCAGAGGTGGGTGAATYAAGTCAGCCCTGCTTTACGTAGAGGAAGCCTGAGGGAGCAGCAAGACAATTTAGTGCAGATAAAACACTGCCACTGGCTCGGTACCAAAATTGCTAAATCAGGACAAGCATGCTGGGACAACCAGGGACCCACTGCTCCTTCTGTAGTTTTTAAACACAACCTGCTGCATAATCCAAAGGAGTAAAGACCAGCCAGTAGACCTGTAGATATCATTTTTCCAAACTTGAAAATAAGTTTTGCCTTCAAAGCTTCACTGAACTTTGTAACAAGAGCCAAGGGAGCCCAGTGAATCCATGTGCAGAGGCTGGATCAACAATATGGCTTGGAGCCACTCGGGAGTTCTCACATTGTCACCACAGCCCAGCAAAAAGTGGGGCAGCAGCTGCTCACAAGCTGAAGCTTCAGCCTGATTTTCAGAGAGCATCTTAAGTATTTAAAAGGTCAAATAAAAGAGCTTTTTGTGTCTCACTCTCTCCACAGTCTTTTCTTGTTATTACACTGATAAAATCTGGGGAGGACATGCCGCTGTTTTTATAGTGCGACAGGATTGGCAAAGCCCCACTTTAGAGAAGTGTAGGTTGTAGCACGCATGACTAACGATTAATGATGCTCATTAAAAAATGAAGTTCTGATGAAATTCATTAATGCTTGGCTTGAGTCTTGCTAACAGTTACGCAACATTAAGAGCAAGGCAATTACAGATCTTGGCTGCAACTCATTGAGAGATAAAAGAATACACTTTTCCTGTTTAACTCAATGTGTGACATGCCACACTACGAAAAGGAGCTGTCTTGAAAAAGCTTCTCCAACAATAAGACACAGCCTGCAGCTCCATTGCCACCTGTGGGTAAGTGCTGGAGTCTGTMCTCCTGCTCTGTGTCCCAGGGCACAGGGGGAAAAGGTATGCACAGAAAAGAAGGATGAAAAGTAAAAGCCATGCTTTCAATTGCCCTGGCCAGCCAGAAAGTCGTTTAAAGGCATTGCACCTTTGGCCTCTCAGGTGAGCACTATTACTATTTTTACTTCAATAATTTTATATGTTSATCCTTTCACAGTCCTGAAGATCTAAAATGAGCAACTTTGTTCTAAACAGTACAGCAAGAGAGCAGGATGAGGTAAACTGCAAGGAATGGGAAGAGAATAGATCTAGATATACTTCTTATATCTATTAACAATGTTTACAATGTGCTAAATATGTTCACCTAAAATCCTATATACATCATAAATAAGCCAAATCAGCTTTGTATTGTTATTAAGGTTAAATGTCCTATTTTGAATTCACTCAGGAAGACTCCTAGGAATGCACACTGTAGAGAGCTAACACTTAAATATGATGGACACTTGAATGCACTATACATGCCATTGTTTTCCCTCCTCTTCTTTTGTCTGTACTTGGCATTTTACCTCAAGAAGAATTAATAATCTATTCAGGACCATATTTTCTCGGGTAGCCTCAAAAGACCTCTTTATTACTTCCCATGGACAACTTCTGTCTCAGGTCAGAGTTTACTCTGAATTTTCTGGCCAAGCTGTGAATTAAGGATTTTTACTCAGGGAAGAAAGATTCCAGGTTACCTTGGATAAATTCATCAGCAAAATATTTCTTTTYAGCTGCATTGTAAATCCCAGAGAGTGGTATGCATTTGGACATAAATCAAAAACTCTCAAGTATTCTGTATCAAAAGTTTTCAAACCTGGGGAAAGCAAAATCATCACAGTATATGCTAACRTAGTGCAGTTAGAAACCAACTTTATTGTTGCAGTTTGAAATTATTTACACAATATAAATCTCTTTGAAAGGTACATTACTTCATTTAATCAGTGGTAGAAGGCCTTAGAATAGTTTCAATCACATTTAGCTCAAAAGAAATACAATTCACTCCAAYGGATAAATGATGCACCTAAACGCCACAAGATACAAGGGACATGGGGACTCTTTTRAGGGATGACAGTGCTAGAGAATGACAAAGGCTCTTTTATAAATTGAGCTTAGTTTACTCACAGGACACAAGTGGACTAATGTTTAAAAGAACACTGAAAAAATATGCAGTAACAAAGAAAATGACACAAAATGGAATATATTCCTAATTTGCTGTGGCCCTGTGTCTGCAAGTGTTCAAAGGGTTTTGGATGAAGAGGCATAGACAGAACCGATGGCTCTAACTTGAAGTCACACCTTAGAAAGATTGGGTACATTCTCAGTGCTGAGACTATTCAAAGCACTTGTGTACAAAGCAGCAACTTTAACTACCACACAGAGATACCAAATGGCAACTTGCTGCAAAAAAAAAAAAAAATATTTCACACACTGAAGACTGGACACTTATTTTCTGATAACACTTAAGAATACTACCAAAAACTTAGAAACATATACTTTTTTTCTGGTTTACACTGTATTTTATGGCATTTTATATGATACTTTTCATGTTTCTCTTCCAAGGTCTCCATCTTGTGTTTTGCATGGGTCTCCATGTAGGAAAACAATACCAAAACCAATTAACAGAGGAAAAACACAGTTGCAATGCCACAAAAATAGGCTGGTGCAGGACCTAAAGTTATTTCAGCATTTTGTGTCAATTTTGCTAGATTTCAAGTAATGTGCTTTTCTTTCCTCTTCATTGCCATGAAGTTTCCCTCTTTGTCATCTCTCTATAAAAATCAAATCAAAGATATCTGGAAATCAATGAACTAAATTCCACACCACAKGGAAACCGTGATAGCAGCTTGACAACTTCAGAAAGCTGCAGAAACAGTTTGAAACCTTGAACAAAAAAATTTGGTTTATCTGGTGAAGTCTGCCATCTAAGATCTCAGTGGTCTTCAGGGCCATCCCAGACATTTCCCAATAGTAATAAACCTATTATTAAAGAATTTGGTGCAGATCACYACCTACACTATTAAATACAGAGAACACCCAACACATAATGCGTAACAAACCGATCAGCTACAAAGGTGCTTTCTTGTTTATAAACCATTTTTTGAACAGTCTCCTCCACCTCTCCCCAGGCTGACTGGTTCCCTAATTGCACAATCTCTACAGATCAGACCAACTGCAAAAAATCACTTAAAAATAAGCAAATCAAACAATGCCTTTCCCAGGGTCTGAGCCCTTCACTTGGGTGAAGCACCTCCTTTGAATCAGCCTGTGCAAACATTTCACACATTTTCCTTCCCATGAAGGTCTCTAAGAAACAAAGTCTGGTCTAATCCAACACATTCCATCTGGRATGGTGTGCTTTCTCACTGTTGAGAACCCCTTTCAAAAATATCCTGTGTTTGGCTAACAGAACATCTACCTTGCACAAGATCAAAAGTCTTGGCTTTTCCTATCTTTCACAACTATTGGAAACAATCAGTTTGCCAACTGCAGCCATAAAGAGAAAGGAAAAATCATCTGTAAGACTGTTCCACATGAGCCCTGCATTTCCTTTAAAGTCTGAAAAAATGCCTTCTACTCCACTACCATGATTCAAACCTGGTATGGAAGATGACAGGAGATTGTTGCCAATTTCAGCAGCTCAGCAATCTTGGAACACAACAAATTATGCAAAACATGAAAACAAGGAACGCACAGTCACCTCAAACACAGACAGRTCAGACATGGTCAACCTCCACTGCAAACTACAGGAAGGACTGCCCCAAACAAGAGATTACAGTGCCACTGGGGTTTAGAACAAAGTTTTATTTAATCAAGAAGTTACCCAATTTTAAGATTTTGTTTGGTATGAGTAACAATAGAGTATTTGTAAGCTTTAGTCAGCTAYCAAAGGCTTTGAAAAAATCTGAACTTCTATCCTGAAACAAACTTTGCCCTTTATAATTTGCTCTTGTCTTTAAACCATGAGAGTAAACAAGCATATCCAATACCTTACCACACCAAAAACTTGAGTTTTCACATGAATTACTTCCTTTTACTTAAATTTACCAAGGCCATTCCTCCTCTTGACTAGTACTTCTTGGATAAACTCACTTCACAGGACCTTGGTAACCCAATGTGTCACCACAGTAAGGCTGACAGGTTGTACAAACTGCACCAATATCAATTGGTCTGATGGAGAACAAGATTTGCACACCAGAATTTTCCAGCAGTGTTGTTAAACACACCAGTGAGAAGAATAAACTAACAGCTTGAAGGACACCATGGAGTTCAAAACAGACAATGAAAGGCAACAGTGATGAAAKATAGTCAGGGAAAAAACTGTGCTTCCTTATGTCTGTGTTTCCAAGGTTAAAGGCCTCTTTAGAAAGGGACTTTTTACACAAAAAAAAAAAAAATTCTGATGAGAAGTCATGTACTGACAAAGAAGAATATAATTTTAGTCCAAAAGGAAAAAGTGATGGCCACGTAAGGAAAGGAAGATTATATATTCATGTTTACCCTAAAAGAAGTAGGGTTGTGGGCACAAGGAGGAGGGGGAGGTAATCGCACACAGGGGAAATACCTCAGCTATAAGTCTTAAATACTCAAAAGGGGTACCAATAATTCTAGTATTGAAGTAAATTAATTGACAGAACTATTTGAGTGATCTGGGCATTCAGTATAAGCATTTACAAGTTATCAACTAACCCTACTATAAGGCTGTGTCCACCAAAAGCATTTGAGGGACTCCGCTCACAACTATTTCAATCGGTGCTCCCATGAGAGCACACACTTCAGGAGTGCATCAACCCAACACCCTTAGTTTGGAACTCACCAGCATTCAAGAATGTATAGGAAATTTTTGGAAGTTTAAATAAACAATTTCCCTATCCCACAGGCACTGCATGTACCTCTGACACATGGTATTAGAACAGATTTTCTCTTAATCTAAGTACTGTATAAATTCCTTTATTCCCAGAATCATTCTCAAGAGCAAGATTTCAAAACAACTAATGGGGGGAAAAAGACACTGTGTGTCCAAGGCTATAAATGGATACCTTAACATAAAAGTATTATGCTCCGTTATAAGTCAATTTAACAAAAGATGTCTGCACACAGAGTTAGATTCCTTCTTTACATCAAAATTTCTACAAAATAGGAGAGAATACAATGCAATACACAAGTCCATAAATGCAAGATACAGTACAATTCACACTAATTTACAAATGGTTATTTACACTGTTGTATATACATGTACAGTCAGACCTGGTTAATGCAAATTTGGTACATCCTTTTAAAAAGCACATCAACACGTGTCAATGAAGGTATYTAAAATTACGTAACAAGAGATTAGTGACCATTCAGAAATCTCTAGTGCTTGTATGACCTAAGAAATTAGACCTGGATTAGCCAGATCCGACTGCAGAAATGAGAAGAAAAAAAATCACACTATTCTGCTTTACAAAAGCAACCAGGCCACTACGGTCTATTGACTTGATGCTATTTCTGCAAGAATGCCCAGACTAATAATCCTCTTTATATTTACAATATAGCTTTAACTACAGATTCAAGAATTATTAATTTTGGCATTCATGCCCTTAGCTTAACATAAAGGCAACAGAGTATCTTCTTGGCAAGTCACAGTCAGAACAACTACAGGATGTTTCTAGAGCTCAGTCATTTTTTTTTGTCCTCCTTCAAATATCTTCATGTTGCTAGWAAAGAGACTGAGACAAATTAAGTGAAACAAGTACATGTTCTCTAGTACCTAACTTACATTCAGAATGTCCTGTATTCACAGTTTCAAGCTACCTTATCTTCAATGCAATGCCAACTACTACTTCCAACTGAATGCATCTGTAGATATTCCTCAGGAAACGAGGATATCYGAGTGCTACTGGCTCAAATGGATGTGGAACAAGGCTCAAGGTAACTGGCATTTCATTTTGGGAGATGTTTTACAGTATTTCCTCAGAGCTGATCACAAATRGGTTGAACCTGCACTTGTCTCGAGAGAAAGCTGATGCAGAGCAGTGTTGAAGAGCGCGAAGCGAATTCCAGCGTGCAAAATGAAAGCCTTGACCAGTACTGCAAAGTCAACCACTGTAACCTGTGACAGTCCTTGTGCTCCTTCAAAGTGGCTCAGGAAAAGCTTGGAGTACTTACTACCTGCTTCAAAGTGCTTTTACGGGATTCACTCCACAAGGATGAGATTGAGCTGCACTCAGGAAAAGCTTTGGTTCTGCGGAAGCAAATTTCCACTCCTGCAGTTATTGCTACTTGAGCTATACAAACAAAAATACTACTGACAAAAATTACAGTAAATCCAAACCTAAGTAGCACTGGTACCTGAAAAGGGAATGTGTTTAGCCAGCCATTGGGAAACTTAGGATCTGTCAAGAGTTGGATTTCCCAAGACCAAATGAACTTCACAGCCTTCTTTCAAAATATTTGACAAATACAAAGCAACGCTGTCAGAAATAAAGCCACTGCTTGAAGAAAACAGTAACAAAGAGTTCAAAAATCTTTAGCGGTCTCAGTTCCAAGCACATCTTGCTGAACTTAAAGGAAATACAAGACAGCAGCATATTATTCATCACATATCAATGAAGTCCATAGGGGGAGAAAGTACAGAAGATTAAGGTCTTCAGTGCCTTCATGAGCTCTAGCAACATCCTTGATAACTGCTACAAAGTAAATTATAAATGTCTATTTTAGCTATTTGTTTCAAATCAAAGAAAGTTTGTCCAGTATAGTAGCCTCCAGCTAATAAAAACGGTTATCTCATTTCAAGTTACAAAAAAATCCCAGTTCTCCCATTTGTATAAAGATTTTTAAGGTTTCGACTGAGTAAAAATAAAATGGAAATATCTAGAAATTAATATAAACAAGAGGAAAAMCAAATCCTAAACCGTGCTTTTGTAAAGCAACAGAATGCCATTGGAAACGATCTTTAATGGTGAAGATTTTTCATTCACATGAATTTTCTTTGTCCTGAATCACKCCAAGCTTTTGTAAAGCACACATGTATGTACGTGTGTACACACTCTACACACATACACACACAGCCATGTGCCATAAAGCAATTTTGAATAAATATCTTTGCTGGAGYCTGCACAACAGACTCCCCACAATATTTACTCCTCAGGTAAGTTTGTGTTTGCACGTGTTCATGCACACGCACAGACTTTGTACATGTGGGCACTTATGTGACCAAAGTGCAAAGTTTTTCAGAGTATCATCAGAGTCGAGTTCATGCCTGCCTAGCCCCAAACTGCATTGTTGGGCTTGAGTTTTCTGCTGTGGCTTCCTTGTCCTCTCCTGTCCCCAAATCCCACCCCCACCCCCCTTCAGAGTTAAAGCCTCTTTTCCACACAAACTTATACATTGTTCCATTAAGTAAACATTTTGTTTTTCAGTTCACATTTTGTAATTCAGACCATTCTTGGTATAATAGCTTTAAGAAATAAAGTGTGTGTGATGATCAAAGCCCCACTGCTCAAGGCAGACACTTTTCCATACTGTCCTTCAGATCGGAGGCTTTGAAAAGCAATTTGCCAAAAAAAAAAAAAACCAAACCTGCCAGACACACCAGAATCTGCACAACTACAGGACCAGGCATTTAAGACTTAGGTTAGAAGATGACAAAGCAGAAAGTTGTCATCAATACAGGAACTGTAAACCTGTGTCTGCTCCCCAGTGCAACAGGATCTCTGCTCTCCTACCTCCAGTCCAACAGTCCATCCTGCCACTGGAGCACAACAGATACAGACAGAGAGTAGTTCAAATTTAGAAYCAAGCTTCAAAAAGCAAGAGAGATATGGAATAGTGGTCTTTTGATTTTAAGAATACACTTAATAAACAAGYAGCTTTCCCACAGAAGCTAGGGATGGCAGGTTGTCCACCTAACACCAGTGATTGGTACAATATCCTCAGAGAATCTTGCAGCCACAGAACTTGAATATTTCTACAGTTCAATCGAGAAGGAAAAAAAAATCAAAATGTTATTTACCATTTCAGCAAGCTGCTTGATTTTTGTGCAAAAGATAAAGTACCACSGTATGGAAAGCTACCTTCAAAAAAACAAAAAAAGGAAAAAATAAAGATCATCCTAACCCTTCTCCCTAATTAAATCACCCTAGAGATCTCTCACRTCTATTGTCACTCCTTTTGCTCGTAGGCATCTAAAAGAATAATTGTCTCTGACATGTCTTCTTTAGTATCAGATAATGCAACTTCAATAAAGTAAGTTGTTAAAYGAATCCTTTGGAACAACTTCACTATCCGCACCCAACTTTAACAGAAACTGATGAAAGCAGCAATGGAATCATGTTAAACTTATAATAAATAATTCACATACAACATATGTTAAATTACAAAGAAGGATTAAATTGCCATGTCTACAACTTTTTATAGATTTAGCAAGTTTCTAATCCGTTTTTTATCAACAGCAGTATGTATGCTCTTCATATTAAATTTAACATTGAAGGACTGTTTAGAGGCATTATTTATAAAGCAAGAACCACCAAGTGAGCATTACAGCACTTCAACAAATGTTTAGCTTTTTTTTTTCCAGTATCTGTTCTCAGAAAAGATTCAGGGGTTGTCTATCCACTTGGTAAGAGTCCTCCTCTTCGTTACTCAGGAAGAGTTAACGTCATGACCTCCAGTTTCATTTTGAAATATTGGTTAAACCGAACAATTGCATACCTGGTCAAAGGGAGAGAGACATTCCAAGTTAGGAACAGCTAACTCCTCACATGACAACAGCCATGCTAAGTAGRACTAGTCAAAATTCCACTGACCCCAGCACCCTGTTTCCAAAACTGACCCTCAGCAGCTGCCAAAGGAAGAAATTAAAACAGAGCAATGATATCACAGTACTACTTCACCACCCCCCCCACTCCCAGCTTGCAAAACAGATGCTGCTCCAGGACTATCAAAGGTAGCAGTTTAGTGTTTAATTGTTTTTAACTGGCTGTCTGACAACTACAGGGCCACAGAAATTCGATCTTGGTGATTAAAACAAACTTCCCAAAGCTGACAAGTTTTTGGGGTTTATCACTGGTGTTTTCCCTCCATCTAGTGGTGACTGTCTGGTACTGCGGCTGAGAKAATCAGGAATCCACATCGGTCTTGTTTACAAAAATGACATAATTAAACCCATTAAACTGGCTTAGACAGTGCAAAAATTCCTGAAATGGGACCTTTGACCAGACAAACTGATGAATTTTATCATCTCCCTCAGTCGCCAATGGAAAAATTAATTACTCTGCTTGTTTGCTATGAAAGACCATTTTTAAAAGGTCAAAGACAGAGGTATCTACCTGAAACAGGACTTAACATTCAGTGGTGGTACAAAGACTCCTTAAAACAAGAATAGGGGCTTCCAGGATCAACACTCCATGCAATAAGTAATCAAGCTCTTTATAAATCATTGACTGTCCGTGTTGGAAATGTAGGTTTTGTATCTGACAGACAGCACACCTCACTGACCAACCTGGCTTTTATGCCTTTGTCTCCTCAACAAAATACTACGTCCAAAATCATTATGTTCCTTGCCTTTGTCTCCTCAACAAAAAACTACGTCCAAAATCATTATGTTCCTTGCCTTTTAAACCACGTGTGTTATCCCAGGGGCACATAGTTTAGAGAACTGACAGCAACAAAAAGCACCGACAAACAGCTTCTACTGCCTTGCTTTCCCTCAAAAATTGAGTTATATTGTATGATCACATAGGTCAGGTCTGTTGGTCAGATCTCCATTTCTGACAGCTAGGGTGTTGGACCAGGTGGCTCCACAGGTCCCTTCCACCCTCCAGTATTCCATGATTGGACATAGCAAGCACACTTACCGTAGAAAATCAAAGTCAATGGTGGAATATTTGGCTTGAATTAGAGCCCACAATCCCCAAAAGAAGTGGGAAGCCTGAAAGAAAAAAAATTAGCAGCAAAAAATTAACCTTATCTCAAACCTAACCTCACATAGACAAAATTTTATCTGTAAGAGAACACTCAAAACCCAATCTTTTTGTAAAGTTATTTGATACCTCTTTACCTAAGAGATWTGTAAGCAGTATTATAGAATAAATTTCTGGCAATCAGAGGAGGAAATCCATTGGACTAATTCCCCATGTGTCATTTTCTAGAAAAATAATGTTGCATTTATTATTAATGCAACATGCTTATTTTATAAGTATATTATAAAATAATCTACCTGTTAAGTAGATTGCTGCATGACTATATATACCACGACAAAAAAAATGCACAGAAATGTAACTGCCACCTCTGCAACTGCTAATTAAATTTATGTTATTGCACATGTATTGAATTCTAGTGCAAACAGGAAATTCCTTTAGAATCTTCGATTACACCCTTAGACCTTCATAATTATGCTCCCTTTCACTGCTGACTTGGCTAAAGAKGTATGTAATGCTCCAAGAAATCCTCAAATTCTCTCCGCATTTACACAAATTTCTCATCTGTCCAAACTTACTTCCATTAGGAGTCCAGAGAAGTAGCTTGGACGCCTCTGTTCACATTCAGATTGCAAGAATGGATTATATTAATGATAAGATTGTTAATATACTTCAAAAGGAACAAACAATGGCCATGAGCTTGACAGTGTCCCTGTGGAAGACTGTTCTGGACACCCAGGTTACAAGTGACAGACTGAACTTCAGTAAGTGACTGCTTCTATTACCTAAAAGGCTTGCTGAAGCTTGCATTAGCACTTGACCAGGAATTTAGAAGCCATTCGTGGACACACCTGGAAAACACCTCAAAATAGCAGCTATTCTGTGTCTGTGTGAATCCTGTACCTCTGGTTCAGGTAACTTCTCCAGAGAGTGGCAGTTCATTATTTTACATCAGCATCCATTAACATTATGTTGAGTTTTACTTTAGCAAAGCTCCCCACATGAACTGACACAAGAGCCACTCACTGTTTGTGCATCACGGGTGGTCTGTAGGCAAGTCCTGAGCTGTTCTCTAAACACAGCTCTATCCTCTTAAACATTACTATGACCATTGTTTAAAACTGACAAAACCATGCCATATATTTTCAAACAGACCACCAGCCTGCTTAACTGCAGCTCTAACTTCCCCAAATGAACAGGACAGCTGAATTTAACAGTAACAGCTGACATTTTAAAAGAACAGCAGCACACAAACTGCTGGTTTTAAAGCTTGTTTTAAAATCACCTTCCTGTTAACTATCCTGCCTCACTGCAACCAGTAGCTGTTGCCAGAAAACGGAGTGCATTACAGTAACAGAAGTGAGGACTAAAATAAGGCCAAAGTGGCCAATTTAGCCTTAGCCCTTCAACAAATATTTGGGCATATTTTCTTCAGGAGAAAAAAAACAAACCAAGCATTTTTGATGTAACATTTCTGGTCACATCATCTAGGCAAATAAGAGAAACTCTAGAGTGACCTATTCATCTGCAAAATAAAAAAAAAATTAAAAATTCTAATTTAACATAATTTTATCATCTTATTTTACAAAAGGCTTTTAAAGTTTGTAAGTCTTCATGGAGTACAATCTTGCTCTTCTGTCTTCTTACCACTACAAGCAAAAGTTCAAAGACCCACCATAAGCTGTGGACAACTTAAACTTGCCAGACCAATAAACAGCCAGCAGAAATCCTCARTCAAAGCTCATCTCCTTGCTTCTGAACGCTCAGTAGGAATACTCTACAGAGAATTTTTAACATGCAACAGAGAAGCAATTTTCCATAGAAGAGCAAAGTTTTGTTTCTTATGGAAGTTTAATCCATAAGAAGTTTAAACTCAAATTAAGAAAAAAGCAACTACATTTGTTCAAAGAATACCATGTTCCCCTGCATCATTTAACATATTCTAATCACGTKTTTGTTCCTTACCAGTGCAAACTGATTGACTTGGACATACAGAACTTCGACTTCTTTGTCACTGACTTCTGTGCCAAATCCTTTATATTCTTTGTAGGCCTCAAGGTAAGATCTCAGCCATTGTTCCTGTAATTTCCTGTTAGGATAAAGGCTGTAGTCTACCTCATTTACTCCTAGGAAAAAAAAAATAATACTATTAGAACCTTATGTTGCATAAAAAGACCATTAGAAACCCTTTAGTACTGCCATTAGTAATCCATTASTGTACCCCTTCCCACTCCAATACACAGGCTCAGATTGATGTGGACAAATATCCCMATTTTTATTTTAACCTGACTTCTATCAATTACATGTTGCAAAGAATTTCCCACATACAAATCATGACTGCTCCACATTACAAATTTGTTTTCAGCCAGGTAGATTCAGCTTGTACATTGGGATTCAACAACCTGGGCTTTGAGAAAAGCTTTAAGAAAAAGTATTTGCATTATGAAACACAAACCCTCACAAASAGATCAAATATTACATATTTTGTAGGAAAAAGGACTTGTATGCCACAATACCCCAAGCAGAATCCAGGGGCATATCCAGTTATCACAAAGCTCACATTTGAAGAAAACTTACAATGAGTCTGCCTCTCTCTTCCACAGGGCATTGGTAAAATTAGGAGCTCATAACCCATTTTTGTCCTGTTTTTCTTCCTATATTTGAGCTGCYTAGTCACAGGCTATAGACAGTCTGCAGGAGTCCCAAAGACATGGCAGACCCCTAGCACCTAAACTCTTTTGTGTGTTAGATCCACAYAAATTTTGCTTAAAAAAATAATTCAGATTTTTACTGGACAGATAGAGAATAAAAGTGAATCACAACTGTTCTTTACAGGCAAAAAAATGTATTTGTGCATTTATTCTTCTCACTGATTAATCAGATTTCAGAACTTCAAGATGAAAAATCAAAAACTTTCAAACATATTTTGTAAAAGAATTTAACTTGCTTTCCAAATGTTTAAATTACCAGTTATACAACTTAAATTACCAASTATACACACTATTTTTTTAAATTCAAATTTAACATTGTTCATGAATCAACTGGTAGATCTCTTCATTTCACCATAGTGTGCTTTCAATCTGTACTAATCATTATGCAGGCTTTCCCTGCTGCCCCATGCTCTGAGATAATACAGCATACACTTGAGGTTATTTCTGCCTTATGAAGTAAGTAGAATGGGTATTCACTGTAAAAAAAAATGAGCTAATTAATAAATGAATCTAAAAACACCTTATTTCTAAAATCTCATCTTTTTCCTATGACATAGTCTTAGCCTTTACTTCTCATCTTAGGACAGGCCAAGTACTTAGYACACACATTCAAAACCACCAAAATAAACCACATAACCCTGCCTTTTGGCACTGTGGAAGAAACCACACAGAATATTGTCAATATATACACCTCTAGTGTGACATCCACAGAATTTCACCACAGTGGGCTGTATCTGCTGTGTCACTCACAGAAGGACAGGGTGAAAGCTGTGGGGTTTGTATTTATCTAAACCTACCAGAACTTAGTACATGATGCTCCCATTTCTGGGTCAGAAAAGCTGCAAAGAAAGGGCATACCTGGCCTGCAAAATGAGACATCAACACATTCTGATAGCTTGAGCTGACAGCTGTAAACACATAACTAGATACACAAAGGGAATGTGCAAGAATGAGTCTGCTGGGGTTTTCAATAAAGCCAGTCAACTTTTATCTCACAAACCACTTCTTACCTGCAAATTCATTGAAGTGATTTCCAATGTCATAAGCCAGATAGTTGTACCCAGAGTACTCATAGTCTATGAACTGCACATCACCTRTGTGAGAGACAACAGCAGCAACATCAGAGTCCAGATCAAAACAAGTCACAGCCCTAATCTTCTGGTGTCCTTTGAAGTTTTTGGGGGAAAACAAAACCAGACCACACACCCATCTTGTASTCAGTTGTGTGCACTCAGGCATTCCAGGGTAAGATTGTGATGCCTACAATATATTTAAGGATAAATGTTCATTCAGGAAAGCTCTTAAATTTAGAGCTTACAATTCTCTCTGCTTCAACCCTGAGTAGGAGAACTTCAATTTTAACTTCTACCACATGAGGGCCTCCCTCGCCCTCAAAATGAGAAGTAGAATAGAGCAGTCTTTATTTAAACTTTATGCAGAAATAGCAGATSAACTTTTCCCTGCCTTATTTTATAAGTGTCCTGTTCATTGCCAGGTAAGTGTGCAGCCACAGCGGAGTAACACATTGCAACATGCTGATACTTCCTGCTTCCTCAGCCACTCTTACAGAGCAAGACTATTCTTAATTGTTGCCTTTTTCAGCTGGCTTAAGCTTGTCTCAAGAAAGCATCAGAATTCTWAAGTCCTCAAAGTTATCAAACTATGTAGCATCGTGCTAAAGGAGGGCTGAGAAAGAAACAAAACACAGCCCCAAACGTTTCCAAGTTACATTTACTTGCAGTGAAGCTGGGGAAAATGCTTCACTTCACATAATACAGCACTGAAGCTGCTCAAGAATGTCTACAGCACATAAAATATTCAAAACGTTACYGGGAGGGATTAGGTAAAGCTAGAGCTCTTGCATTTTAAGGGAAATCAGCAAAATTACTAAAAATATCAGAAAAGGAAGYAATGGGTTTCATAAGATCTGTTTGCACTAGAACATTAAAAAGTAAAACCTTACATTYCTCGCTGCTATACTGAAATGGGTACTTTTCACAGTTGCACCCTTTTCCCTCTGTATACTTTTTTTATTACTAGCTGCATATTTAATTAACACAAACATTCTATTACAATGAACAATCTTTTAACATGACTTAAAACTCTAGGTTAAAAAGAAAACCAAGAACCAAGTCAAAATTAAGTACACATTAATATATGTGTATATATTTATTTCCTAGAGGTTTAGGAATATTGAACATCTCAAATAAAATAGTTTCACTAAARTCCTGACCCAGTTAGCACAGAAGAAGTTTTTTATAAGTGTTCTTTCCCATGCAGTTCATTTTTGCCACATTTGAACTACTAACACCATTATGTTTTTCAGATGGACAAATCTTTTTGTCTATGCACTTACAGTGGAAATTAAACTCTATAACACAAATACAATCACACAGTCACAAATGCTCCAAGTCTGAGTTCATTCTTACTCCCACTGAAAGAGAGGATTGCTTACCAAGGTTATGATGTTAAATCTTTTCGGCTCTAACAAACCAACAGCCCTGAAAAGTGGCAAACTCCTCCCAGGAAATTCTGTTGGCAGTGGAAAAACTGACGCTCTCTGGAGCTTTGAAGGGGCAAATCTTACAGCAGCTGAGGGCAAGATCTTATTGTCACAGATGAACTGCCACTGCATGACTGGAAGATTCACAGGCTCGCTCTTCCCATTGGTTCTCCAGTGCTGCTTTTCAAAACAGTCACCTCCAAAGTTAAAACCCCAACCCTGGCTGGCATTCTGCTGCACAATTGATCTCCTGAACCCCTTCGGCCTCCTAAACATTTTATATTGCTTGTTTTAAGAGGAGGGKTTTTTTCTTCCTTCCTCACATAAAATGCAAACACAGAAGGTAAAAATCTGCTAGTAAAATATGGACATAAATACTTTAAATTTTTCATTTGCAGATTTCACCTAGAACACCTCTATGTGCCATCAGGAATTTTTAGTTATAGCTAACATTTYAAAAACATATTTCCACACATAAAGAATACTACATACAAGCAGAAATTAAAGCTAACAAGATATGGGTGGGGCTGTTACTAGGCACTGTCCTCACAATGCAGGAACAAGGGTTTACCCAGCCTGTAGCAAATATTGAAAAACTCACATTTGATAAGACAAAAGTTYAAAGTGAAAAAAGCCTTGCATTTAGACTGATGCATTTCAGACTCATGCTACTGTGAAACTCAACCTTTAAGTTTATTTTTGCATGAAGGCTCAAACTGAAGATGCATGGTTCTTTTGGTGGAAATGAAAAAAAGCAAAAGCTTTAAAGTTTGCTGCTTCACAAATATTCAGCAGATATATGTACTTATACATACACATACATACATCTACCCTGCTTTAGAAAAAGCAGAAGAAAGTTTGCAGTAATTGTTCAAATAATCATTGTATCAGAAGTTAGTTTTAAGATTACTGCAGTTCATATGACAAAGACCCTTCTCTAAAGGCTATGGCTTACACTCTTGGTTTAGCAGGTAGCTGTTGTTCCAAGGTTTCTAAAAGGTATCCACAATTTGTACATCCCATCAATATCCCTGGAGCAGGCAGATCAACTGGTCTAAGTGTATTTGTGTTTTATTGAAGCGTGAGACAACTTCAAAATAAGCTCTGCCATCTCTCTAGAGAAGGTGCTGCTATCATCAGGAATCGACATGCTAAGGGTGTGGAATATTCAAGTTGAAACACATTCCTTTTTGTCCAGGCATTTCCTAGTGCAGACAACATACAACATACTCCACAAAGAGGTACAGAATGGAATTCATGTTGTGTTCCATACCCCAGAAATCCACCTTTAAATAGATGAAGTAGTAATCAACAAAGCATCTGCTACATCTCCTCTTGTTCTGACAGGCAGGAGGGTGAGCACACCTCTCCTTCTAGCTGCTTTTCCTTTTTASTGGTTTAACAGGGAAAGCATTTCTCCTGTCCAAGTCCTGGCTGTAGTTTCCACAGCTGAATGATGCTCATCAGGTGAGCCACTGAGCCCCTAGAAAGCAGTTTCAAAGACAAGGATCTATGCCAGGAACATACTTGAAAATTCACGAACAGGTCACATACCCAATGGATAATTTTAGCTAAAAMTACCCGAAAGAGCTCTGCAAAACAAAACAGGTTTTTAGATCAAAACCAGAAGCCTTAAACATACCTCAGTCTTCAGAAGCACTGAGCACCCACAGACTCCTACCAAAGATCATAGAAAACATTGGGTAGGCAGAGGGAATAAACACAACAAAACTATCCATCTACCTACACACTTAACTTCCTGCCAACTGATTTTCATCTATTCAAAAAGAGCACATATAAAAACAGARAAAAAGAATTGTGATACTTGATCTTGTTGAATAGCAAGTATTTGAATACTCTTAAAACATCAGGTATTTTTGGAAATTCCCAGGTCATGCTGGGAAAAAAAAATTAAACAAAACAAACAACCAAACAAATTTAGGAACATCAAAACACAAGGTCTATAAATAAGCAGTACCAAGCTTCAAGCATATTTTGAGTATTCCTGATGTCAGAACTGCAATTAAAARCAATGTGAAGCCCCAAGCTATATCCTTCAACAAGCAGATGACAGTGATAATTATAAGTTATGTAAAGTAACACTTGCAGATTTTCATATCCTGAGTGACTGAGAATGGACATTAACAAAACAGCAAGAGGCAGAGTGCTCTCAGCCACAGCAGGAACTAATTCAAATCAGATGAGAGAAACTCCATTAAATGAAGTTAGCACTCAACATGCTCTTCCAGTCTCATAAATAAAAGTTCAGGACRGGAGACTGATTTTTCTTAAAAGCAGTATGTGGCATGACTGTGATTTTTCTTTCAAGTCTGAAAGCTTAATGTGAATTTAATGCACAGGACAAGTCTAAGGCAAAGCTCAGGAACACACCGTAATTATTCCAACGGCATTGGACACAAGTCCTAACACATCCTGATAGTTTGTAACTTAAACACACACCCACACATCCCCACCGACTAGTAAATGTGCAAATTMAGCATTCACAAACAAAATTATAAAATTTAGTATTACTAAAAAAAAATACATTAGGTTTTGGTTGTGCCAGCTTTTGAAAAGCCAGACTCTACTACCAGCTTTGCACAAATTTTACTGAGGAGTAAAGGAAAAATAAAGGTAGTGAATCTAGAAAATCAATTCTCTCTTGTTTTCAGTTGAGGGTCACCAAGGTCTTTTGGATACACASTAGCTTTTGCAGATGGAAGAGTGAATTTAGTCAGAGTATTGCATTCACCAAAGCTGTTAAMTACTTTCAGACTGATGCCACTGCTAGTGAGGCTCATCTTCAAAAAGATTCTATTTTGTGCTCTTGCAAAATTACTTGCATACCAATAAAAGCTTTTGCTCAGCTAAACACAATTCCAGTTATACATGTTTCTTTGCAGTTAAAGCTGAGCTTCCGGTTTATACTCTGTAAAAAGTGTGGTATAAAAAACAGTTTTCAAATAGCAAACATCCTTTCTACAGAGGGCATTGAGGTTTGGTTACTATGAAAGTGCTCTTTACTGTACCCAGATTGCACAAGTTTTACAACACAGTAYATGTACAATACTCAAACATAAGTTTAATAATATATTTATTTCATATTTCCAAGTGTTTCCCCCAGCTGTTTACAGCTTGCTTGAAGCCGAGGTATCTTACACATCTCCCTCCTCCCCACCCTGCCCCCAAACTCTAAACACTCACACACTTTTTACTGTAGGATTGCTCACAAGTGATGTACTGCTGGCAATGTTTTTTCCTCCATTCTGTTTACAAAAAGAAAAGCACACAGCATTTGTTTTTCAATTAGGAGCTTCAAGCCTGTTGACCATGATAGTGAACCTTTTAAAGGAATTCCTCAGATTTTTTTGTCTTTTTGTTGCATGGTTCTAGTATGAAGAGTGACTATAAAAATTACTTTTACCTCAGTAGGTCTGCTCTGGAATGCCAAAACTCAAGGTAGTTTCAGCACTACAAAAACCCACATGGAAAAAATAGATCTATTTTTGGTGTTACAGTATCACAACTCCAAGTGTATAAGACCACAAGTCTGCTTTTTTGTACACCTTTCATGCTTTCCTCCCTTTTACTTTTTAAGCAGAACAATAGCCCATCACTGAAACTCAGTAAACCACTCAAGTTTGGTACTGAGTTCACAGAACTTAAAATTTATGTTAATAGCATTGTTAGGGTGTATATATACACATGTGTATATAGCTATGTAACTAAAAGCACTAGCAATTACATTCAAAAGTGGTATTACTTAGAGSRAAACTTKCACACAARACAGAAAAAAAGTTTATTGCCTCAATTCACACAGTGATGAAGAAATTATGCAGAATCCACATATGAGGCAGAAAAGTGTTATCACATACAGCCAATTTTCATACTAGAACCAGCTCCAGCTTGGTTTTGTTATTTTTTACTTTAGTAGCTAAGGCACATTAATAGGTCAAAGACCAATAATAACTGATGGCTTCAGCTCCATTCAGTTATTTACTTCATTWATTTTGGGCCTACTTATCAACAGTCTTACCCAACTGGCACAAAAATATGCAGCTACTAGAAGGAATATGTCAATCTTACTTCAAAAGAAAACCTTGTAATCTGATTTGTTTGTTGCACTTAGCTGAGCCCAGCTATTTGAAATGGGAGGAAAATTGTGCATTTTTACTGCATAACAGCCATTTTAGTGTTGCAAGTTTGCCTTGTTTARTATCTGATTGATTCACTTAGTAACCGAACCTCAAACTATTAAAATCTATAAGCTGTGGGTTTATATGGAAGTTCTAACTGATCTTAGTAACAGGAACTAGGAGTTAAATGGAGTGTAAYAGAAACAAAAAAGTAATTCATCTTTGCCAAGATGTGTGCTGCCTAGAACTGTTTAAACAAAGCACGTATTTACAAAAGAAATCTTTTAAGATGTCTGTGTACCTCATGCAGAAAACAAASTGAGCTACTGATTGTAGCAGTAAATATCACTAAGATACTTAATCATGAAAGGGTACTCCCCACAATCACAAACCAGAACAAAACGTGTTACAGGAGACAATTTTTAYGTTATTTTCTATAGTTGCATGATTTTCTTTTCTTCCTGGAACGTTTATACAGCCAGAATAGAATTAACATGCAGTTGCATACTTTGAAGCCCATACAGGCAAGCTGGGGATTAACAAGTTCATTAGTTCATTAAAGAAAAGCAAGGAACACTGCTTTCCTTCCTCTCTACAGTAACATACAGATGAGAATTAGCTAATTAAGCAACTTAGTATTTACACAYGTATCACTACCATTACACTGGGTCTTAAAAGCTCCAACATATAAGTGAGTAAAACAACACCACTGATGTAGCACATGCAATTATGGCACAGAAAAAGCCACTTGGCTACTCACTGTTTAGTTCAACACCTACCTCGTTTCTTGTTGTAAATAATATTCTTACACAACAGGTCGTTGTGACAGAGCACCACTGGTGATCCTAAATTTGACAGTCTTTCCTTCATCCAGGCCATCTCTTCCTGAAGAACTTGAGGACTTGGAATATCACTTAAAAACCTTCTCGGGTATAAGGAAACAGAGAGTTAGCATTTCATACTGTGTGTTCCATATCAAGCCTTTGTAATGAAGTATTATTTGAAGAATTATTTTTCTCCACATTCTTCCTGCAAATAGTTCAACAGACACTCTCCCACATCAGGGCATTCTTTCCCAAGGCACAACAGCAGTCAAACTAGGACAATGGTTTTTCTCTGTCCTCCCCAGAAAACAATTCTCTGAAGATTATCTGTGCTGCAAACATGATAGTAGTCCAAAAATCAGGAGCAGAATGAGAATACACTCCTGCACATTGTAAAGGTGTAAAGATTAGARGAATTATTGCATGAATTTCATTCACTTTCTGTTCACATTACATCACTTCCTCCAAGAAGAATACACAACAGAATTGGGTACTACATGTATCTATACTGAGGAAAGGAACATTAATTTTTAGTCTAGTCACAATTGATACACTTAAATAGCCATTGTATCCTCTATATTTTCAGTTACCCATTCATGTTTTCTCAGTTTTAAGAATTTGATGTTGTAAAAGAAAAACCACTTTGCCAGAGCATTCTTTAACTACAATGCAGCAAGAAGGGCATCCATGATTTCAAAGTCACATGAAGAATATTTTTAAGCTGGAGTCTGCTTCCTGAGTGTTATGAAGTCTGATGATACTGTACAAAYGTAAATTCCAGCAGAAGGAATGAGAATTCAGGAAAGAACATGATTAAATACCCACCTTTTATTTACTTCCTCATCTGCAAATTCTGTGGGTATGAGGGAGAAGTATTTCCCCATCTTCAGCCATAGATTGGATTTTGGGATCCACCCATTGTGTGCATGAATAGCATGGATTTTAGCAAGCTGTCTGGCAATGAGTCTAAAAAAAATTAAATTAATGTTTTATTTAAGTGAAAAATTCTAAAAGATGCAGCATAGGAATTCAAAGAGGATTTAAATAGGAATAGCACAGCCATAAGGCAGCATCTTTCAAGACTCAAAAGATCATTAGGATCATTACCTGTGGGAAGGACTGGAGTTCAGTTACAGCACACAAACTTCACCTGCATTTACAGTCTACTCTTGCTTATCTTCAGAAGTATCGATTTAAATTAGCTGCTATTTTTAGGCAAACACATTCCAGTGCACACATTAAAAACTAAMACCTTAAGACATCAGCACTTTCTGTTCACTGCTAATAGTTTAACAAATTGTTTCTCAATGGAATTTTCTGGGATCCATTCACAAAAGGAATTTCTTGGAAACAGAGTTGGGAGTACTTTAACCAAGTCTACTCCCTACAATTCCTCCATGTTCAATGACCTCTCTAATSATGATGTGCAAGTGTTAAATACTCACAATAAACAGACCTGTAATGAGTACAATCTTCTGAGGAGGCAGCAAGGATGGTTTGTTCAGCACTGAAATACCATAACTAAGACAATGGGAACACCAGCTTAGTGCAGGCTTATAGAAATACTTATTTTCTGCCTGCTCAAACTCCACTCCATGTCCTTTAGGCCAAGCAGAACTTCATAAATGCACAATGAAGTTATGAAATTTGAAAAAAAAAAACCAATAAAATAAAATAAAAAGCTTACCTGAAAATATCGGGATTGCATACATGCTCTGGATCCAGAGCTTCTCCCTGCATGAACTCRTAGCACAGGCCATTGTTGAAGGTACAGTAGAGCTGAGGGGCACAGCCATGGGCCTGCAGCACACGGAAACTCTTCACCTCCTCGTCCCGATCCACCAGMAGCTCCGTCTTGTTCCCGTAGATCCGAACTAGAACCACATCATCTGTTATGTCACCCACGTAGCAGCCGATTAATTTATTGGTGATTCCATCTGTGAAGAGCTGAAAAGCAAAAATAATGCGTAAGCAACTCGGATCCGTATCTTCAACAAGCAGGAAAAGAATGCTGAGTATCCTTTAGTTCCCAAAACACAAATGTTTACTAGAYTGAGCATTAAGAAATCATTATGTCAGAGAAATATCATGAAGAAAATACTTGAATAKAATTTTTTTTGTATTTACAGTTATGTCTTCTTCTACCATCTTGCCCTCAAAACCTTAATTCAAAAAGAAAAAAATCCTCTTACAAAACCCTCACAGTAAAACAAGCAAGCAGCAAAAAGTAGCTCAAAGTTGGATAGCATAAACAATTTTTAATTCTTAATAGCAATGAAGTCAGAAAGCCAGCTGAAAAAGAAAAGAAACCTATTTACCAGGATCAGAATACTAAGTGTTTAATGAGAACAGTTTTAATTCCTTATTTACTCATGTCCAGTCATGTACTCTCTGATATGACTTCTCCCTCAAGCCCTAAGTCAGGCCCAGAACAAAAATACTGACAAACRCAGTGATCTGTTGAGCCACAACATTTAATGAAAAAGTACTTTTGCTAAAAATACACATCAATAACAGGCAACAAGTATCATAATTCTTTAGAACCTTGGACAGTTTGAGTGGGTTTTTGTTATGAATTTGGAAGGGTGGGCACTGTTTGGGGGGTTGTGTTCGGTTTTTTTTAACAGTAAAGCACAGTTCAGAAAGTTTGACTTCTACTCCCCCACTTCCTTCAAGAGGTAGCCACCTTTATTTTGAAAAGTACTATCACTCAAACACAAGTGACAGATTATTTCCAAATCTCAGGCGTTTAGAGAAATTGAGAATTAGGAGCAATTTTTTTTTTAATTACTAAAAAAAAATTGAAGCTGGGTTAAGTCTCCCTGTTTAGGAAAAGACAAGACTTTTCTAGTCAATGTGTTTTAGCCCTTCTGCCTTGCTTTCCCCAACACCCCAATTTGATGATGTTGATATGTTCACCAATAAATGCAGAAAAGAAGTGGGGGAGTTTTAGTTGTCACCACAAAAAGAAATAGTTTTAGTTGTCACCACAAAAAGAAATAGCTCAAGCTATTCAAGAAATAGCTCCTGAGCAAAGATGCAGAAGATACAAAAGTACTCTATTTTCTTGAACAGTTGCAAACACTCAATCTTGAAGAAGTAGGTATAGCAAATTACATAGCTTTCATCTTGAAAGGGTAGCCATACATTCAAATAAAACTGCTTACAAAGCCTCTTTGACTGACTCAAAATWAAGACTTTACAATTTATGGACACATTTTATTATTAGCTATGATTTTAATAACTCTAAATGAGTAATGAATCTGAAACAGTCTTCATAGTAACTGTTACAGTGTTAAATACTGCAACTAAGAAAACTTCCATTTAGCACTGTAGATACTGGGCTTGAGCAGTGTTCTTCTGATTYGAACAGGCAGTACTTAGAAGTGTTTCAAAACGCTTGTAAATCACAAATTACACCTTTGTACCGTAAATGTATCTGTTCATAACCTTCCCCCTCCTAAGTGTATGGTCACAGAACTATCTARGCAGRGAAGGGACCTCCTGTGATSGCGTTAAAYCTCCCTGCTCAAGCAGGGCCAACTAAAGTCAGCCCAGGAGAGTGCCCAGGAAAATCTCCAGAAATTCTGGAAACTCTACAACCTGTCTGGGCAGCACATTCCAGTGTTTGTACCCTCAGGGTAAAAAAKWGTTTTCTTGTGTTCAGATGAAAATTCACATTTTGTTTTGTGCCCMTTGCCTCATCTGACACTGGGCACTGAGARGAGTCTGGGTGYTYCTTCAATTCCCTCCCAWMAGGTATTTACACATTTAAGATCCCTGCAAGCCTCCTTTTTTTCTAGGCCAAATAGACCCAGCCTCTCTTCATTTGAAAGATTCACAAAGTTCCTCCATCATCTTCATGAATTTCTGCTGGACTTTCCCCAGTGAGCCTGTGGCTTCCTTCTGCTGGGGAGCCAAGAACAGGACACAAGCACTTTAAGATAGCAAWTCAACATACAGATACTGATTCTTATGTATTTCAGCATAAACTCAGAATTTATTAAAGAACTATAAAGAGCACTTTGCAGAAGTGACTTGTGTTGAGCTGTTGAAGTCAAAAAGTATCTCATCTGCAATGCCTAGTTGAAAACTTCCAAAATGTAGTTTAAAGAAAAAAAATATACTACAAAAAATATGCAGCTCTAAGGTCATCAAAATAGTGCTGCTACAAAAAAACAAAAAACCACACCCCACAGGAAGAAAAACCACACAAAAAACCCACGGATGTTAGCAGTGCTGATGCAAAGAAACAGCAAGAATTTGAGTTGTTATGCTGTTGAACAGAAACTGCTGGGCACAGTAGAACTTCTGTCACAGGTCTATTACCCCCTTAAAACAAGGCTCATTAGCACTAATAAAAAGAAATCTGCAACAAGGAAATTGGACTCCCTCAACTGTTAATTTAGGAACTCTACTTATTAACATCTATTTGTAACACGCTGCTACAAATAATTATTTACACCCAGGAGCATTTCAGCTATTGCTTCTTTAAAAGACAAGAAGGGTTCACTTGCTTTTCTAATAATATTATTCAAAGACAATTTCCATAATCCATCATAAGAAAACATCTAGTTTTTGCAACCACCAGTAAAAGAACATAGTAGTCACTTCCTTCTTTTATTCAAAATGCTTTTATTCTAGTATTTAAAGAATCAGCTTAGAAGGCCCTGCCTGAAACATAATCTGAAATGGGGTAGAGCAAAACAGGAGTTCTATAGCAAAAGCATCAGCTGAACAGAATAAGCAGAGCACAGACTGATGATGGGGATGAGATAATCACTAAACTATAAAGGCCACATGGAAGAAGACAGAAGAATCTACAAAATGCAATGTATAGCAAGTAGAAAATTCTGGGAAGAAATACAAAAAAATACAGAGATACAACAGAACACAAGGCAAAAAAAAAAAAAAAAAAAAAAAAAAAAAAAAAAAAGAAAAAAAACCAAAAAAAAAAAAAACTCTACCAGCAAGATTTTGACACTCCAGCAATCCACAAAAAATTACTGTGAAATGTGTTTCTCACAGTTTAATAAATGCTTTCAGATGAGGTGATAGAAAGGTAAAACTAAATTCTGAAGCATTTCTGGATAATATATTTATAGTGCTCACAATCACATCCAAGGCTTTCTAGAAAAAAAAAAAAGAAACTGTTTACGAAACACAGATGGAAGGTGAGAAAGGTACAAATTACCATAAGTTACTCAAGTCTAGAGAGCAGCACATGGTACAAACAAGACAGGCCAAGGGAGCCCAGGAAGAGCAAATTCAACCAAGACATGAAGCATCTTGGAGACAGTTTACCCTTAAAGCACTCTAACTAGGTTATCCGATCCCTGGAAAGAGCACGTGATGCATGCTCCCATCTCATACGCAGGTGTTTCATGAAAAGCTTGCATCTAATCCCATTGTTCCAGGTGTTTAAAAGGATGAGAAGAATGAGAACAAAATTGCAATCACATGTAACAAGAATGAATAGACAGAAATAAAAGTGTCATGGAGCAAAGTAGAAAGTACTTATGACTCAGAAGAGCTGTAAAACCAAGCAGGTTGTTCTCTTCTAGACTGAGTTGTTACATCCATAGGATGTAATAAGAGAAGAATGCAGGAAGCAGTATTTTACTGCCATAAAAACAGAACAGTGATGTGAATTTGCAGCTTAAATAAGTAGGTATTSCCCAGAATCTGCTGCTGAACCCCAGATTGACTCTGAGATCTCCAAAAAGGAACAGACTTTAATAATATGCTGCTTTAATGCTCACAAAACTTGAAGTTTGTATTGTATATCTAAGTTAGTCTTTTTTTTTTTAGAAAAGTATAGTCTACAGAGACACAGACGCATCCACAGGTATACAGACCAAGAACTTARTTTCTTGAAACAAGGCTAGTTCTTTCTCTCTCTGTAGCTATTGCAGCTCTCTTTCTTTCTGTAGCTGTTCATAAAAGAAGGGCAAAGTACAACTACTGGAAAATGCCTTGGATAAATTCTCACATGCTCAGCAGAGCTTACAAGAAACCTCATTCAAAGGTCTCCAGGCTCCAGAGCCATACCCCCTAGTTCATTACCCTCAGCAGGTGAAAGCCACTGTCTGCATGACTGAGGTGGTGAGATGAYCATGAGCAAGATCATCTGGTGTTAAAAATACCGAGACAAGCAGGAAGAAGCAAGTTTACAACACTATTATCTGATAAGTTTGGCCAGAGGCTGAACTAGCAGTTTTCTGCTGAACTCTCAGGGTGCTCTGCATGACAGCAGCAYGCAGAAAGCAATGCTTAGAGCACAGATAGTGCTCGTATCACTGTCACTTTCTTTTTTTTTTTTTTTGCTACCAAACTATCAACACTTCAGCTTTAAGGCGTGTATGGGTTTTGTTTTGGGCATTTTTCAGTTGAGGTTTTTTTTTTTCCTTAAGTTCTTAAATGCAGTTTCACATCCTCCATATTCTCTGTATAAATAGCATTTAAAATTGCATCCAATAGTCTGTTATAAAATGCTACAGATACATCACCCTTTGCAAGGGCTGGTTCTGATTCCAAGACATGACAAGATGTGAAAGCTTTTTTTTTT